TCCACCGGGCAGAGTCCACTCCAGACTGAGCTCTTGCTCACTGTAGTGTCCCAGCACTTGGCACAAACCCCAGCACGCACAGGTCATCAGGGGACAGCTGCTGACAGGACCTGACCTCAAGAACAGCACAGCCGGGCCAGGGAGACAGTCTTGGGAGGAAAAACTTTCCCGTGCTCTGGAAGCACTATCCCAAACAGGAGTTGAGCCTGAGGGTTGCAGGGGCCCACAGCGGGGCACGGTTCCAGCTGGAGACTGATGGGAGAGGTTGCAGAGAGGGCTCCAGAGAAGAGCGGACACGTGAGGCCAATCATAAAGGGTGACCCACACCTGCGCCTGCCTGATGCTTGCCTCGCCTCCTCTGAATGCCACGTGGAGAGTGAAAGAAGATACGGTCAGCTTCCAACGTTCCAAACTAGACACTCTGGGGGACCCAGACCCCATTCAGGCACCCCCGGCAGACGTGGAGGCAAGGACGCCAGGGGCCGGCTGTGGGGGAGGCCTGGCCCAGCGTCCTCCATCTGGAAGGGGCTTCACCTGGGGCCGGGCCCCCGGAGGAGAGTGGGAAGCGGGGGTTCAGCTGTGCTGATACCTTCTGGGGTCAGGAAGCATGGCTGTGCCTTGAGGGTGGGGCATCACTCCAGGCTGACCTCAGTCAACAGGAAAGAATGTGAGGTCTCGGATCCTGGCCGTCCAGCTCCAGCCACATGTCAGGAGAGTTACTCAACTTCCAGAATTTGTGTATTTGTTTTTTAAAAGGGGTAGGTACTACCCAGCTTGTAGGTTTTAAGAAAAATGCTAGTATCCTGTCCAGCACCAGGTAGGGATCAGGTCTGGCTGCTATGCAGGAGACCCGGGTTCAATCCTTGGATCAAGAAGAACCCCTGGAGAAGGAAATGGCAACCCACTCCATTATTCTTGCCTGGAGAATTCCATGGACAGAGGAGCCTGGCAGGCTACAGTCCATGGGGTCGCAGAGAAATCGGACGCAACTGAGTGACCAACACTTTTACTTTCCCAAGGGATCAGAAGGGCGGGTATAATGGTTAGGACTGATCCCAACAGCGGCCCCAGAGCACGTGTCCCCCTGGGCTGCCATCACCACCCTCACGGGACGAGGTGGAACGGGGAGCAGAGAGGTTAGGCGGAGGACCGGGGAGGGGGTGGGCCAGGTGGGACGGGAGCACCCGCTGCCCGGCGTCCCTTCCCCAGCCCCGTGGACAGCTCACCGAGCGACTCGGCACACGGGAGCCACGCGCGTGGTGGTTTCACAGCAGTGGTGACAACAGAAATGATACACAGGCTTCAGAAAAGAGAGAGGGATCATAACCCTAAAAGAGCAGTATTCAATATGTCAGCTCACTTGCCCGGGCCCACAGCCAGCATGTGAACCGCTGAGCCAGTGAGCTTCAGGGCTGAAAACACCATGAGGGCCCTGGTGCTCATGGCCCCCCAACCCCTGCTCCACATGAGGCCACCCTCATCCAGCAGAGGGCGGTCTCCCGACGACGCCCCAGGCAGCCTGCAGGGACCCTGGAGCTGCGCTGGCTCTTGGCCAGTTAGCAGGCTCCAGGCTTTGAGCAGGAAAGCCTGCCCTGGACCTGTGGCAGCCAAGGGGGAGGGGAGGGGAGAGGGATGGAGTCTGGGGCTGGAAGATGCAAACTGTCCCAAGAAGGTCCTCCTGTCCAGCACAGGGAACTGTATGCGGTGTCCTGGGATAAGCCAGAATTGAAAAGATACAAGAAAAAACGTATATATGGATAGACCTGCGTCGCTCTGCTCTACGGTAAAGTGATTGAAAGACTAATCTACAGAGATTAAATGTGACATCCTAGATCAACTAGACTTCAACAAAAAATAAACAAACAAACAAAGAAAATAAGCACTGATGCCTGCCCTGCATGTTTCACAGAGCAGGGGTGTGGTCAGACGAAGCACGGCTGGGGTTTCCTGGGTGGGATGGCCAATGCCTCCTCTCCACCGCCCACCCAGGCTGGGGGCCTGCAGGAGCCCAGGCTCTCGGGCTGCTGGGGGCACGACACAGAGGAGGCGGCCCCAGAGCTTGACCTTTGCCTTTGGGAGTGGGGAGGGGAGTAGGGGAGGGGGAGAAAGGCAGGCAGGCAGGCCAGCACGACTCCTCAGCACCTCCTGGGAGACCCGCTGCCCCAGCCTCGGGCCCATAGTGCATGTCGGGTCTGGAACACCCAGGCAGGTCAGTTTCCACCGCAGGAAAGCTCCGTCTTACCCCATGAGGGCTGCACCGTGAGCATCCACCTCTGCGTCTGCCCGCCCTCAAGCCGGGGGCACCTCCAGGGCTCAGGGCGTGGAAACAAGGCACACAGACGATGAGCCGGGTACAGAGATCGAGCTCCCGGTGTCCCCTCGGCTCTTCTGGATGCAGCAGGTATTCCCTAGACAGGTGTGCACACACCTCCTGCGAGAGCCACAGTTTCCTTTAAAACGCATCTATCCAGCCGTACATGCTTACATATGGACCATTTTTATCACCGTGGATGGGTGTCAAATTAGGCTCGACTTTTTTATGAAGTCTAAATATTGAGAAAATATCAAAATGCATAATGAAATAATTAGGCAATTCCATCTTTGGTCTTTCCATCTGCTTGGATTTAGGTTTACAATAGCAAAAGTCTGCTCTTCGTCCCATGCCAGATGTCATTACCAGAGAGAAAAGGAGCGGGGAGGGAAGAGATGTCCACAATGTTAATTCTCTTCACTCGAATTCGCCTATGGGGACGGCCTTCCAATCAGTAAAGCTAGGAGACAGGTGTGCCTGGCACCTGGTAGGCATCCAATAAGGATTTGCTTGCATGAATTATCAATCGAAATGCAAAATAGGGAAGTCAGCTTCTTTGAAGAATCAAGGCCGAAAGGAGAGAAACCCCAAAGCATTTCAGTACGTTTTCAATAACAATTTTCAAAGGACGTTGAGTGTTTTGGTGATCACCATAATCCTACTAGGAGGCAAGGGCCACGGGCTCAAGCGGGGCTGATGGTTCATTACCAGCTCCCCACATTTCTCCGCAGGAACACAGAGGTAGCTGCATCAGCAAGATGGGCAAAAGGCGCCCTGGGAGCTGGGGGGGCGGGCGCCCAGGACCAGGTGGGCCCCCCCCGGGGGGGGGGGCAGCACCCAGGAAGCCACGCTTGCAGGTGCTGCTGTGCGTACTGGCTCCCAGCGAGGCCCAGTCTCTGTGGGTCCCATGATGAGACCCCCTTCCCTCTGGGTCCCCCAAGCACACTGAGCCCTCCTCCCCAGGTGTGGGCTGGATCACCCCAGCCCAGTGGGCCCGGCTCTGCAGGAGCTCCTGGGGGAAGCTAAGGCTCTGAGAAGGGGCAGGGACCCCATGAGGACCCCACAGAGGAGGTGCGGAGCCTCCACAACCCAGGGGGATCTCTCCTGGCTCCAGCATCAGGACGCAGACGCCAGGGCTGAGCACTGACTGCCTGCTTCCTCTCCGCACCTCCATCCCCTCAAGGGGTCAGGAGCACTTTCAGGCCCCCCCACCCCATGGGGGCCGGGACCGGCAGGTGAGCACTACGCTGGCCACCCCACCCGAGCGGGTCCTCGGCCAGACTCAGGCTGAGTCGGCCCTGCTCACTCAAACACACCAGCTGGCTGGACCGTGACTCTGTGCTGAGACGCAGGGCACCTCGGGAAGGGCAACTCCATGGTCCCCGCTGTTTTACTTCTCTCTGCATAGGAGACAAACGCCTAACCCCACGACATGCACCCGGCCAGCTCCCTCCATGAGTTCCCTGACGCTCTATTTTTAGCGTCTGGTTCCCAAGCCTTCCGTCTACAGTGCTTTTTCACAAGCTCCTTGAAGACAGGTGTCTGGTCTCCTAAGCCCAAATTCACGTGAGCTGGCATAAAGAAAGTGGCCTCGGTCCTGGAAACCGTGCCTCCTGCAGCCCTCAGATGTTTCCAGAAACCAGGAAGACGGTCTGGAATGATCTGAGACCATATGACAGGCTGTGGCCATCCCATTTCCACAGAATCAGTGTGTGAGCGAGATACCAATAAATAACAGTCTCCTCAGAGGTGCCTCTTCCTGGGAGACGCTCTCGCACCCTGAGCACTGTAGGGTGCTTCCCACCCTTGTCCCCTTGACAAGCTTCTACTTATCCTTAAAAAGCCCACACTAATGTCACCTCCTCTGGGAAGCCTTCCCTGATTGCCCTGCCGCAGCAGCTTCATCCTCTGATGAAGCACTTGGCCCAGTGTGCGGTTCCTGTTGTTACCGCTTAGCCCCTAAGCCGTGTCCAGCTCTCGCAACCCCATGGACAGCAGCGTGCCAGGCTCCTCTGTCCGTGGGATTTGCCCTGCGTCCAATTCTCAGATGATTTCCACCCCTTTCAAGACCACGCAGCCAGGTGAGGCCTCATCTCTGCATCTCTGCCTCTCAGGTGGCTCACCGTACCCCCGACCCAAAGCAGGCACTCGGTGCAGACTGCTGAAGAGACACAGGACCAGGGGAACCTGGGGCTTCTCCAGATTCCCACTCACCTGAGTGTCGACCATGAGCCAAGCATTGCTCCGAAGCTCAGGGCAGGGCCAGCTGTTTTATGAAACTGACCTTTATAACGCGATCCTCCTAAACTGCTCCCATCCCAGGTTTTTCAAAATGGCATCTCTGTGCCTTGCTAAGCTGTTCAACCCAATTTCAGTTTCCCTGACAACCACATCCTGCATTCAACCATCAGTGAGTGGAAGCCCTCCAGCCCAGCCATGACAGGTAGCCATGAGTACTTGTCACTAAAACAGATCTGAATGCTGACAAGAAACAGGCAACCCAAGACAAGCGCAGCCCCACCCCAAGCAGGCCCTTCCTCATCTTCCCTCCTGGGGCCCTGGACCCGGTGAGAGGTAAGAAAATGTCTGCTCTCTGTCCGGATCTCCCTGCCAGGCCATTCCTGAGTCACCTGTGCCCAGCGTTCACTAGCTGACCCCTCTGGGCTCCTCAGGTCTGGGAAAAGGATATGATGGTCCAGTGGATGTCCAGCTTGCTGCTGATCTCCAGGCCTCGGGCTTCCTGCCTCTCCTCCTCCAGTTGTTTGGAATTTGCAAACTGCCCCTTATCCGCCGGGGATTCTGGGAAGCTCTCGAAGTTGAACTTGTCCACTTGAATGGCCATTCTAAGAGAAGGGGAAACAGCAGAGGATGAATCAAGAGGGCAATTTCTTCTGCGGGCTCTTGGGGAATCAGCACATGCCAGCGTGAGACAGGAGAATGAATCATTATCGTTAGTAATTCATAACGGATTCGCTCCAAGAAAATGAAATAATTGACTCCCAGGGTAGCGTTGGCTTCAGAGCTGGTTCAACACAGTTTAGCACCAAAGACAGAGTCAGAGAGTCCCCAGAAAGAAATCTGGATTCTGAAACAGGATAAAGCGGACAGGAACCAAAGGGAAAATTGCAGAGGGCTGGCAATTACTCAGCCCCGAGGCCCCAAGAGCCCAGTGGGAACTGCAGACTCAACACAGAGCCCTGCCTGTCACCTCAAACTTCATCCTCCGCCACACTGGCTTGTTCACACATGCCGCGCCCAGCCAGCCAAATGCTGCGCCCTGCCAGCCACAGGGCACTCACCAGCTGCATAGCACCCCGCCTGTCCACTTGCAGCCCCCGTGCCCAGGGCCCCCCCCCCCCACCCCACCTTCAGGTTTCTGCCCAAGTCTCACACCCTCAGGCGATTTCCATCCTGCGACTCAGCCACTGTGCCCACGGCTCCCCACACGGTAACACTCTTGGCCTGACCCGTGGCATGGCTGGAGTCTTTCTTCCTTTAGATCAGAGCTTCAGAAAGGCCTTCCTAGACCACCTATCCGCAGCAGCTTTCTCTCTCACCCACCCTCGCCTTCTCTGAGGCGGTATTCAATCTATTTCTGCTACACCATGTACCACAAGCTGCAAATATTTACTTCTGGATTTGTGAGCTGTCTATCAATCCTATCAGAATTCAGCCCCCTGAGGGCAGAGATCCTTTTGTCTTGTTTAGCAGTGTTTCCCAGGCCCAGAGTTGTTCCTGCCTGGCACACTGCAGGAACCAGTTCAAAGAAGAAATGAACAGTGAATTAAGATCCTTCCCTAATACCCTAAAGGAAATCAACTCTGAATATGCATTGGAAGGACTGATGCTGAACCTGAAACTCCAATACTTTGGCCACCTGATGCGAAGAGCCGACTCACTGGAAAAGACCTTGACGCTTGGCAAGACTGAGGGCAGGAGAAGGGGGCTACAGAGGATGAGATGGCTGGATGGCATCATCGACTCAATGGACATGAGTGAGCAAACTCCGGGAGATGGTGAAGGACAGGGTGGCCTGCTGTGCTGCAGTTCATAGAGTGACAGTCAGACAGGGCTCAGCGAATAAGCAGCACCCCAGGCCACGCTGCCCGCCCCCACGCTTGCATCCACATTCAGCTGTGTCTCCTGGTGAGACGGCACCCGGTCTGCAGGAGGCGGTCAGGCTCTAACCGCCCGCTGCCTCCCCTGCCGTGCCCGTGGTCCTGACATGCACACAGCCGGGAGCTGGCTGGGTCTCACTACTGTTTGAAACTCTAACTGTTGGCACAAAGTCAGGCACAGAGTAGGTACTCAACAAAAATGTGCTATATGGAGGGATGCAGAGAGAAGGGGAGAAAGGAGGCTCCTTCATGTCAGGCCCCCAAGATGACTGCCAGTCAACAGATCACAGTAGGCATTTTGTTTTCATCCATAGTCTGTGCTGTGGCCAAAATATTCCCCTGAACCCCAGCAGGCACTAATGGGCCTTTGGAGATTTCTGTCTTTAACAAGCAGGAGCTGGTATTCAGGGCATATAAACAGCAAAGTAAACCTAAGGAAGAGGCCTTGAGAGCTTGGAAAGAACTACTGCGATGTTGGTCAATGTGCAGCATTTGGCTGAGAGCGTGACAGTTAAGTGTCGGCCACCCCAGAGTTAGAGGCACTTCAGTTTAACCACAGAAACAGTGCACTTCAGGGCAAAGACCATGTTCAAAAAATTACCTTTTTACCATTCTTTTCTGATTACAACAGCAGATAGGCTTACTGTAAAAAAGCTAGAAAACAGAGACCTCATACAAAAGAAAAAGTACTCAAATTCTTATACTCTTATGGTTGATATATTGAGTCTATAGTCTTTTTTCCTAAGTGTTCGTATTTTAATGTAACAAATCATGATATAAGTGTATGTGTAAGTCATGAAAGTGTTAAATATATGCATACACACATACATATACACATAATTTTAAGACTTGCTTTATTCTTTTAATATGAGATGAACAACAGACTGGTTTGAAATAGGAAAATGAGCACGTCAAGGCTGTATATTGTCACCCTGCTTATTTAACTTATATGCAGAGTACATCACGAGAAACGCTGGGCTGAAGGAAGCACAAGCTGGAATCTAGATTGCCAGGAGAAATATCAATAACCTCAGCTATGCAGATGACACCACCCTTATGGCAGAAAGTGAAGAGGAACTGAAGAGCCTCTTGATGAAAGTGAAAGAGAAGAGTGAAAAAGGTGGCTTAAAGCTCAACATTCAGAAAACTAAGATCATGGCATCTGGTCCCATCACTTCATGGCAAATAGATGGGGAAACAGTGGAAACAGTGTCAGACTTTATTTTTTTGGGCTCCAAAATCACTGCAGATGGTGACTGCAGCCATGAAATTAAAAGACACTTACTCGTTGGAAGGAAAGTTATGACCAACCTAGACAGCATATTGAAAAAGCAGAGACATTACTTTGCCAACAACGGTCCGTCTAGTCAAGGCTATGGTTTGTCCAGTGGTCATGTATGAATGTGAGAGTTGGACTATAAAGAAAGCTGAGCACTGAAGAATTAATGCTTTTGAACTATGGTGTTGGAGAAGGCTCTTGAGAGTCCCTTGGACTGCAAGGAGATCCAACCAGTCCATCCTAAAGGATGACTGGATCCTTTAGGATGATCATCCTAAAGGAGATCAGTCCTGGGTGTTCATTGGAAGGACTGATGCTGAAGCTGAAACTCCAATACTCTGGCCACCTCATGCGAAGAGCTGACTCATTTGAAAAGACCCTAATGCTGGGAGGGATTGGGGGCAGGAAAAGGGAACAACAGAGGATGAGATGGTTGGATGGCATCACCGACTCGATGGACATGGGTTTGGGTAAACTCCGGGAGTTGGTGATGGACAGGGAGGCCTGGCATGCTGAGGTTCATGGGGTCGCAAAGAGTCGGACACGACTGAGCGACTGAACTGAACTGAACAATTTCACATCATTAAAGATTAGTCTGCAGAATATTCTATCATATGGCTGTATCATAATTTTAACAGTTCCCCTATTTTTCATACTCTCAGGTATTTTGCATTCTTTAAAAAAAGATATTGGTGAAGAAAACCCATAACCACCATCTTTGTGCTTAAATTTCCTCTCTGCATTTATGGCTGGCTGTGAGATTCCATTTCTCGAGGTGGGATTACTGATGTGGGGGTATGAAAGCCTTTTAGGCTTGGAGGCAGCAAACAAGTCCCTTCTCAAGGAGGTCCTCCCTGAGCACGTGCCCCCAACAGAGCGGGGGGCCCCTCTCTGCACACTGGCCAATACTGATAATGATCGATTTTCAAATCTATGCCAGTAAGAGGCAAACTGCTGCTTCACTGATGTTTCAGTCTGCAGGTCTGAACTACTCCTGAGGCTGATCGCTTCTTCAGGAGTTGCCCAGTCATCTCTTTCTTCCCTGTGGGTATAGCTGGAGTGCCTCAAATTCTCACTGAGCGTAACTGTTTCCTACTCCCTCACTTCCAAGGTGGCCTGAAGCAAACTAGTGCTCTCTTCAAACCTAAGTATCACTAAAGGGGCCAAACTCAGTCTCATCATCTGGTAACTCAAAAGGATCCAGTAACTGTCACCTGGCAGTCGGGTGTGGACACGTCCCGACACCAGGCTCTCTTCTGGCCAAATGCAAAGTTGGGAGGGAGGCCCGCTCTCAGAAGACTTGTGATCAGAACAGATCAGAATGCACACTGACCACTGGGATTGTATTTGTGTGACTGCCTGGGCTGGTGGGGCGGGAGGGGTAGGGTGGGGAGGCTCTTTCAAACAATTTCTGAGTCTAAGCATCACATTACATCACCCACCTACACCCTTAAGAAATGCACAGCCAGGTGTGCCCACAAAACAGGAGAGGGGAAAATGAAATGCAACAAATGCTTATCACATGCCCAGCCTGGGCTAGGTGTTTTAAATACACATTCACCTTTTTATGACGGCGGCCTAAGGATGCTTGATGTGCTTCCTTTCAGAGATGCGATGAAGCTCTGTGAGCGAAAGCCACCTGCCCAAAGGCACAGAGCTGGCAGCCCCACTGGAAGCCTGCGCTCAGACAGGGCCGCCCTGATTTTTGCTTTCTCTGGCTCTCCCTGGCTTAGGCCGAGGACCTAAAAGGAAATGATCTTTGCTCCTCTGGTTTTCAGAGCTGGTGGAGGACACAGACCTGGTGACTGCAGAGCCTGCCAGCCACACGACCCACCCCACTCCCCAAATTTACAACATCGCTCCCCCTCCAGCAGCCGCAGGGCACACCATGCAGCAAATGTCTCAAAGGCAGCACCCTCCTTCTGCACGGATGATGGAACTGAGGTGCCAGAAGTTGAGTGACTCGCCTAGGGGGCACCCAGCCTAGAATCCTGGAGCCAGGACGGCAACTCTGGGACCCGAGGACTACTCTACATCTCTGTCGACCAGCCCTGAGCCTCACCACCCTCCTCCTTCATGCCCTCCACGAAGGGCCTGGAAGCCAGGCCCGGGCACACACAGCATCCCATACGTGGAGGCGGGGAGGCTGAGGGGCCGGGCAGTTAAGGAAGTGACCCGAGCTGCTCACACAAGAGCTTCAGACCCGACCGGTTCTGACACTGACCCAGCATCTCAGCGCATTCCGCAGCGCATTCTCCAGACAGTCCCCACTGCTATTCGATTCTGTTCATCTCTGCCGAGTTGGAGAGAAATAAAACTAATACTACTACGGAATGCCAATTTTCATGTTTAATTTTATGGGCAAATGTGACAATAATAGTTAAGAGTTGGCACTAAAAAAAGGTGCTGTGATTTCTGAACAGTCTATAAAAAAAGCGGTGGTATT